AAGGTTGCCTGCATTGAAGCTTGTTACAAAGAAACAGCTAGCACAAATATTAAACAATGCCAATACTGTAATATCAAACACAAGCACCAGCTCACTGCAAGAAACAACCAACTAATATATACCACGGCTGCAGTTATAACTGAATACCTTGGGTGCAAAATCGACAAACAAGAAAAAAAGCCAAACAGTTCACCACCAAAATAGAAGATCAGGTTGGAAAATAAGATTAGAATGCTAAGATCAGATGCAAGCAAGCTAGAACAGATGAAAGAAAAGAAGGTGAAGAACAAAAAGACCAAAGAATATCTGATCAAGAAGTACTACCTAGAAACAAGGAAAATCAAAGCAGCACTGGAAATAAAACAACAAATAACAACCACAGCCAAAAAGATCAGCAGATACATTTGAATTGCACACTATAGGCAGATTTCAGTTCCAATTTCAGTTGAATCAGAAATGTTTTTACCAATCCATCAATGGAGAGACTGCAATGAACTGGTCAACACCTGACAAAGAAGAAACAGTGCAATTCTGGGCATAGCTATGGGACAACCCAAAGAAATACAACAAGAATGCAGCTTGGATAAAGGAGGTGGATAAGAATAAAAAAGAAGCTGAAATGAAAGAACTTTTAATAACAGCAGAAATGGTGGAGAAAAGGGCAAGGAAGATCAAGAATTAGTTAGCACAAGAATAAAAAAGAAGCTGAAATGAAAGAACTTTTAATAACAGCAGAAATGGTGGAGAAAAGGGCAAGGAAGATCAAGAATTAGTTAGCACACTATTGCTGACTGCCAGAATGGTACATAAAACATTAACCTAATTTAACAGAGTTATTGGTTGGGTTATGCTACTCCACAATGACTTATTGTTTATTCAGTAAATTTATTTTATTTATTTTATTTATGTTTATTCTGATTTAGAACATGGGAAGAATCACACAGACCTTTAGCACTGCACTGCTTGTTCATTGTCAGAGAGCAAAGCTAAACAAGCAGACAAAGAAACACTGTGAGACTTTTTTCTTTGCTTTCCTTCTGATCTTTTCATTTTGGATCCATTGAGAAACATTCATTTGCAGCTTTGTCGAGGTACATCAACACTTTGTACTCTAATCAATGGTGAAGACTTCTGAATCAAAGGCGGTACAAAATGCTTGCGGCAAGGTGGAGTCACCAGAGGCGAGGGCCTTTTGCAAATGCTGCAAACCAAATGATTGCAAAACAGCAAGTGAAAGAGGAAATGCAATGTTTCCCACTTAAAGAAAAGCAGATTTCCTGAGTTGCAGAATCTAAATCATAATTACAGCTTTATCTCACCAGATCTCCTACAGTGTAGTACTTTCTCAGGGTCTGTTTCACAGACAAACATTGTACACTAATGTTTATGCTTTCAGGCATCTGCAAACAATCCTGAATAGTTATTAAAATAATTTAATTTTTGTTAAGTACTCTCAGTGTACATTCTGATAATGCCATTCCAAATCCAGAGCTACACATGGAATTTTAGTTTTTAAATTATTATTCTTATATCAAATATGCAACAGTTCCAGAGATGTGATTTGTGCTGTATTTGCTTCAAAAGTGATTTGGAAGCAAGCATTTAAGAAATCTACTCATCATTTAGTGCAATTTTTAAAGTGGCTGCATCTTTTTTCAAGCTGAAAATAGCCAAGCTGCTTTGAGGAATAGCCGAGAGCTGCTGTTGTGCTCATGTCAGGTCCAAAACATTTCCCTCCTCCTTTTCAAAGGAGGCAACAATGAAGACAGGTACTAAAACTGTGGGTCAATCTAAGGCAGAGGAGCACATTTTTTAAAAAATCTGGTCAGGTTTGTGCAGAAACATGGGAGAGTGTTGAAACTCACCCTGGCCTCTGCTCCTTACTTTCCCTGGACAAGCCAACGGCGGGGGGGGGGGGGGGGGG